GCCCCCCCCCCCCGGGGGCTCCCCCGGGGGGGGCGCCTTTTTTGGGGGGGGGGGGCTTTTTTTTTTTTTTGGCTGCCTTGGGGGTTTCCCCCTTGCCCCCCGCTTCCTGGAGGGGCCGGGGGGGGGGGGGGGGGGGGGGTGCTTTTCCTCTCCCTGTGTCCGTATGTTGAAGTTTGTTTGACTTCATTCCTTTCTTGGGGGATCGGCTTTTGGCCATATGGAGATGCTGTCCTGTACCTTTAAAAGGGTGACTGCCAATAGGAGGGTACTGTATGAGGTGACAATACAGGCTTGCAATGGGAATGCATCACCAAGCACAGTTTAAGTACTGTGTATGCTATCGCCGTATCCATCCTGGACTTTGGATTCAAATTTTGCCATGGACCGCGGCTGCTTCCCCCAATTGAATTTGCATGTCTCGACGAAGCGAACCTTTTCGGCGTGTTCGGAAGCACCTGTCGCACAGACAGGAAGAAGGTCTACGGTGCACAGACAGGAAGACGGTCTACGGTGGTGCACTTTGGAGGAGCCTTTTTTCTTCATTTTTCGCCACAACATTTGTTTCCGCGCGTGCTTGCCTTCGCGTGTTTCAACACGAAAGGGGAAGATTTACTGCTTTCCACATGTCGATCGTCAACCGTGAACTCGAATACTGACGACATGTTGTTGTTGCCACTATACTTCAATCACGAGAGAGCACCACGACACGTGTACCGTAGTCCTCCAAAACGGATACTACATGGAGCGTCGCAAAATCGGGCTACCCGTTGTGTCTGGGCTGCGACGACCCCTGATGGGCGATGCACCTGTGCGGTGCCCGCTCACTTCAAACGCGACAAAATCGCACCGCTCCTCTTGCATGTTTGGTTGTCTAGCAAAGGTCCAATGCTTGCGCAAAAAAGAACCTAGTCACGATTCACTTAACGCACCGACAAAAGTCACAGGTCACTAACGCACCAACAAATGAACGTTGTTACCACGCACACTTGAGTAAAACAAGTACACACTACACATAAAACAACCCCCCCCCCCCCCCCCCCCCCC